TTTTTGGATGTTTTACATTGGTCTTGAGCTGCACAAACAGTTTACTCTTTGCTTTCTGAAGTACTATAAAGACAATATTCCTTTTGCCTTTGCACAAGGTGGAGAGGGAGAGGCAAGTCTTGTAGAAGAACATTGTGAAGTTATTTTTCTCCCCAAAGGAGTGAGCACCTGGAATTCCAGATGAAATCAGGAGGAACTGCAACTTTTCGGAGCTTCTGAATATTGGATCCTTTATGGCCAGGTTATAGAGGAAGAGAGGCAGGTGGTCTCCTCATTTGTGTACTCTAACAGCGTTCCTATCTATCCTCCACTTGATTCCTTCCTGAAGGATGCTAGTGCAGATGACTCATATTCATTCCACTTTTACGATTCCTTGTTGTCATCAGGTCAGATAAAGCTTGTGCTGGGTGCAAAGCCTCCAGTGTTTATAGTTCTTTGGAAGGAGACTGTTGACATTTGAAGTCATTGATTCCAACACACAGAACTTCTTCCCAAGACTGAGGAAATTATGCTTGTCTTGTGTTGATTCCAGAACGGAGTCATCTTTTCTTAATCCGCTGCTATGCAAAGACTTTGAGGGTAAGTTCTGCCAATCTTTGATTGGTTAAAGGGGGCGGAGGTATTTCTGTGGGGCCCTAGAGGAGCAGGCTTTTTGTTCTAATTTAATTAGTAATGCTCTTTGGTCCACATTTGCCATGTTCCCCCACAACAGTTATTGTGCAGGTGCTGAATGTGTGTGTTCGCGATGATGTGCATGTGTTGTGATCAGAGTTGCTGTCATAGTTGCTATCTCAGAAAAGGGGAAATAGCAGCACAGTGTTCTGTTTTTGGCATTGTCTCCAGAACCTGAAAGCAGCCTTGATCTAGTACTGTTCATTTGCACCTTGTTCATTGCCGAGTAAATGTAATGACTGGTATTTGGCTTTGGACTGCCTGTAGGTGTACTATCTGCAGATTGGAGTTGTGGTAGGAAGCTGGATGTGTGGTCAGGATGACAAGGCAAGGAAATGGTGGATGGAGAAGGGGATGTAGAAAGATTCTTGATGCTTTAAAAGTTCTTTTTTAAAATAAGAAGCTTATTCGCCTTTCAGACACGCTTCTCGTTGACTCTTTCTTGATGATCTCCACTGGTTCTAACTTTTGTGCTGTAAATACCATCCTGATGGACCTTTTATAATAGTCTGATGAATCCTCTAGCTCTTAATGGATGTTTCTAGAGTCTTTTCTATGGAGAACCAATATCAAATTAGAGGTTTGCCTAATTAGGCAGTGATGGGAGAATGACTGAGGAGTTTGAGCGGGCGCTGTTTGGGACATGTTCTCATCTGTTATCGCTGTTAACTGGAAAAATCACTATGGAAAGCAACTGGAAGAGTGATGTAAAAGGAGAGTTGAAGTGTGTGACTTCCTTGGGGAAGGAAGGCTGAATGCCTTTGAAGCAGTGGAAACGGAAGACAGATTTGTCCAATGCCAAACCAGGTAAGCTAATCACTTTTACTTGTCTGTAAAAGCATCCTGGTTTAAAATGTACTACTTTTTCTGAAATGAGATCCTAATGAAGAAGGAGTGGTGCTTCCTAGTTGGCTGTTCGCTAGTCCAGATGAAACTTTAATCACGTAAAGAAGACTTTAATATATACTTATTATAATTTTCCTTTGCATTGCATTTATTAATTCACCAGCTGGGGAGCTGTACTTCCATAAAGCTTAAGCTGTAACATAAAGTCATTAGACATGCTCGTTGCAGGCTTGACGAACAAACTCGGCTGAACCACTATAAATGAAAAAGGCATGCTTCTTTCACACAAGTGGGATTTGAAAGTCAAACTTTTATTAATGTTTTTCTCCATACATCAGCAGATAAACTGAATTCTCCAGGACAAATTAGACCCTGCAGATGGCTGAATGACCTCCACATGACAAATCAAAGCCGTGTTGATTAATACGTTTCTGGAAGGCACTTGGATTCCATGGTGATGAGGACAGCTATAAGGACTCTAATCAGAGACACTTTTAATACAGTCTAACTGTATTCATATGCCCTAAAAGACAGGGCTGCAACCCTGTCGCTTTATAGCCTTATCAGAAATAGGGTGACCAAAACTTCAGACTCCTTTTCTTCTCATTTTCCCATAGCTATGTTGGCTCCTCTACCTGAATGCGATTTGATGTGTCTCATGAATCGCTATGCCATAGGGGGCTTGTTGCTAGTTGCTGTCAAGTCTGAGTCATCCACAGATGACTAGGCAGTCCTTGCCCTTCCTCTGGAGAAGGGTAAGTCTCTTAGACTTTTTGAGACTTGCTGATTGGATCTAGAGGTCATAACGTATCACTTATGCTTCATGGGCTCCTGAAGGCCTGTGCACAAGGAGCTGAATTTCTGTGGTATTTTGTGCAGGTTGAATGGTCTTTTCAATGGATGATTTTGTGAGTTTGGTATAGGGAGACCATTTCTTGGCCTATGTATCAAGGCAGAATTTCTTATAAATGGCGTAGAGCCCTTATACTGCTCTACTACTGCGCTTATCCTTTGAGCCGTAAGAACAATGGCGTTTTTGTTGACAAATCAACAAAAAGATGCGGAAGATCCGAAGGGTGGATGCCCAGGATCGTAATGAGCGCCCAACCAGTGCTTGTGAGATTCAGACGTACTGGTTACCTCCTTCGTGAGTATGAAGAACACAGGGAAGGATGAGCGTTGGGGAGGACAGGAGCAGAGCATACTGAGGTGGACAGAGATACCAAGGGGCTCTTTCTTTCTCAGTTCCACAGCTGAATGATCCTCCTACCCCTGCCTCACACATGCTGTTCTTGGCTTAGGTAGCGATGCAGAACCGCCTGATCTGTGCCGCAGCTGCCTGGCTCTGTGGTCTAGCTGTAGAATACATTTGGTGCCATAGCTTCTGTAGGCTTTTGTCAGTGGGGATATCAAGCGATTAAAGCTGAAGGCAGGGATAAGGATGCCTGTTCCTTCTTACAAAAAGGCCTTTTATAAGCTGTTCTGGATAATTACCAGCTGTTGCTGTCTCCAGCCACATGTAGTGCCATGTACCTCTCCATGGCCTAAAACTACTCTGTTTCCTTGTGACGGTGGGAAGCAGATACAGCCTGCATTAACTTAGTCCTAAGATTGTATTAATTTTAGGCACTTTTACCAAACCCGGGCTTGCTCCAAGCACTTAAGCAGGTTAACTAGGAGTTTGTACTGGTTGAGAAAGTGGAAGAATTGAGCAGAAAATGACTTATGTGTGTGTGGTAATGGTGAAGGCACATCTGTTGGGATGATTCAATGGGCCAATGCCTTAACAGCAAAATACTTTGGAAGTGGCTAATGTCCTTCGTGCTGCCTATTTGACGTGTGTGGGATAAAGAGCTGGTGTGGGAAGATTTTTTGGAGTCTGTCAGCTGCTGACTATCAAACTGCAAAAAGGTTTCCCTCTGGCTTATGATCCCTACTCCATCCTGGCTCCTGGCTCCCCCTGCCATGTCATTCTTGACCACAAATTGCCCTTTCTTAGAAGGATATTCACAGCGCTCTGCAGCTCTACAGAGTCCTGTCCCTCTGGACATTGCTGATTACATTTTTCTGATGGTTGAAAGCTGTGTCATCTGTTTGAATCTCTCTTAGCTGTGTTGTGTGCCAGGCTGTTGATTTATGGCTCTTTTATTGCACTTCCGTTGAGCTGTCTGGATTTGAGATGGAACGATAATGCCCTCTGTCATGGGGCTGCTGAGAAACACACAGGTCTATCCTTTAGAGTGATTTTATTTTTTTGTAGGGTGTTTTGCTGTCCTCCTGTCCTCTTGTGGAGAGCACGGGAACTGTGCAACCCTTCCTTGGTGAGTTTTCGCAGGGGATTTTCCAGCTTCAGTGAGTACTTCTTAGTGCTTTGTAGAGCTCAACCTAAGAAAGGAGAAAGATGTTTGTGACAGCTTGTGGTGAGAATGTGGTGTTTCTGAATGGCACTTACCCTCCTGAAAAATGCTACATCTTAAGGCCACTTGATCATCTGTTAATTGGGGCCCCTAAAGCCCTGCTGGGCTAGGGAAGACTTCCAGACAGCATGCCAGTATGGGGGTGGCTAGGCAGGAGCGAAGCAAGCTCCTGAGGTCGCGTAGGGAGATGGAGGTGTGCTGTGATGAAATCCTGTGTTCGCATCGAACAAGCTGACTTGGAACTGGACCAGCAAGCAGTGTCAGCATAGTGCTGTGCTTTGAACCGGCCTAGAAGGCACAGCCAGGTTGCTTCCAAGCCTCCGCGCAGACCTCCGAGACCACATACTTAACCGGGCTATGAAATTGCAAGACAGTCTCTGACGGTGCTGCTGCCAGAGCCGTGCTATCTAGACTTGCCCTGGGAAGCCACAGAAATGTTCGCTGTCCCCATCTCTCCTGAAGTATGTCACCTGGGACAGGTGAGTGCAGAGACTCCTTGAACACTCTTCTTAGCAGTGTCTTGCAATTTACTCCCATGTCAGATGTGGGACACAGTAAAAGCGTATCTTGAGAGTAAAAAGTTTTAGAAAGCATTAATTACTAGGGTTAATCAGTATTATCATTAGGGTTACTAATAATTTAATGAATTCTTAGGGGTCTGTCTAAAATATCACCTTTGATGCTTGAACTGGAGCTGGTGTTCACTTACCTGGTCCCTTTTGCATACCCTTTTGCTCTGAGCAGCAGCTTGTGCTGTTTACATGCACAAGCTGAGCACTGATTTTAACTCAGTGATAGCTGGAGAGAGAGAAGCTTGAGGGATCTCTAACGACCAGCTCAGTCCAGAAGCTGCTTTTACGTTTTGTCTGAAAGGCATCAGGGCCGAACAAAGCCTTTTTCTGGAAGAGTGTGCTGTTAGTGAGGAGAAGGAAGGGGTGAAGGAAAAGAATGTCCTTGATCCTGGGAATAGCCACAGTGGCTGAACCCCATGGGGAAGTTGGATGCTGGCACCCCTTTCCTCTTAAAAGAAATATTATTAATAATAACTGTAACAACCTACTGAGCATCACATAGGTGTCTGCACTGTCTTGTTCCAGCTTTAGACGCTGCCGAGGTGAATGGAGTTACTTAACTGCTTTTTCTTCCTCCTCCGCTGCCCTCCTTGTGTACGCTGTGCAATGTGTCGTGTGTTGGTACCACCTCGTGGACCGGCTCGCTCGTTTGCTTGGAGCAAGGAGGAAGTGGAAGTGGCTGTGGGGAAAAATGGGGCAGTGTTTTGTGAAAGAAAAATGGTGGGTGGGTGTGTATGTTG